GGTTAATTATTCATATTTCCCATGAGCTGATTCGCTACACAAATGTATTAAATAATTGAATTCATATTTTACATTCTGATCATGCATGAAATAAACAATTAATGGTGGGGAAATATCTTCATTCTTCTTTTTAATTCAAAGTTGCTGCGGTGATGACATATTTGTAGGCCAACGCAGAAGTTAGCAACAATCTGGTTGCCTCTACAAAAACCCAATAGGGTTTTCCATTGGTTTTTGGATTATTGCAGAAAATAAGATCTGTGACCAACTAAAGTTTCTGATTCTTACATGTTTTGTTCATCATGCTTTGTTGACGCCTATATACAGCGGAAGTAAAAAAGCTTAAATGGACTACACCACTCACATGATTTCAACATCACCACCATAAAGCTTTCGAAAGTCTTTATTTAAAAAAAACAAATGTTCCTTCACAGTTTGAGTGAAGTAAAAGAACGATTAAAAAACCCCATTCAAAAACCTACTGAATTCAGGACAATGGAACTGGAAGTGCTAAAATGCTACAGGAACTTGTTTCTGGGTTTTGGCCTACAAACAAATTTTTTATCCCTGCAGCACACTATTACAATTCTAATGTACAGTCAGTCAGTCATTATCGAGAAATAAAACTCATACACATCCTCAATGGATTATATCATAATGGACCTTAAAATAAAACTGCCTGTTTCATGATTTGAAAACACATTGCAGTGGACTGTAGCACAAACACACACAGACATGCATACATATTGAATATTCCCCTAGGGAACAACAAGCGCTTTATTGAAAAGCTGTGGGAGGAAGGAATAATGTCAGTATGTTAATTCAGGCATGTGGAGCACACAATGCACACAATTGACTTGCTGCACTGAGAATCAGAAAACACTGAAGGGCTGCTATTGATATCTTGCCAAATTAACACAGGTTTTGCTTTAACTTCAATGCCTCAATGTTGGCCTATTAATTTGTCTTATTTCACTAAAATCATTTAATCTAAACCAGGGATTCTTCTAATCTGTAATAAGAGTACTTTGAGATTTTTCATAATTTTGTCCCTGGAGATTATGGTACAGTAAAATGTAGCAATCCTAAATGTACAGCTCAAACTGCAGAGCTGTAGGTGCTACACACAAGTCAGGAATAGCACTTTTTAAGCATTTTACTTATGTTTTACTCTAATTTTTAGGAACAAGATCAACTTTATTGCTTCCACATGACTAGGTTGGCCAAGCTGAATGTTGTTTAACACCCAAACAACATGACGTTTAACTAGAATTTCTCCTTTATTTCAAGAAATTCTCCTGTTTGTTGTTGGAAAATACTTGTTTTCAGAAATTTCAGGGAGCAGGACTAGAGTCTCACACACATGTCTGCTCACGCTGTGCGAATTAACACACGGTTACATAACAGCTTCAGACTGATGTGAGGTCATGTTGAAATAAATCAGCCACAGCTGGAGAGGAGCAGTCCCTCAGCTCTTCACTCCACCTCCATTCCTGTCTCTCAACTCCATGATTATAATATGGGGGGAAACAGTGCCATTAAAGGAAGCAAATTATGCATTTTCTAGAAACGGTCAACAGATGTGCATTTGATCAACACGTCCTCCTCATCCAGATCTCATTTCTTGTACCTGGCCTATTAGGCTCTTACATACACAGAAGCTGTGTTTATATTTAGATCCTAACAGGTTTTGGACCAATAGAAATGCAAACAGTGCACTCAGTAGAAATGCAAATAGTGCACTCAATGTTCAATAACCTCCCAACTCCATCCACATCTTATCAAATGGCCACAATAATATAACATTATGAATATGTAAAACCTGTCAGTGTGCTCTGGAAGCACATGAGAAGTTCACACTACTAAGTGCACTCCATAAATAAAAAAAGTATCAAAATGCACCATCATTTTTTTAGACAAGGTACTGTGATAATACCATGTTTTTGAACATGTATTATGACAGTGCCCTAGTATTACTTGATAAACCTTAGAATGCCATATAAATACCATGGCACATGAATAAGGATGCACAATATTGTTATATCAGCTAATGATTCTGGTAAACATTACATTTTTTACAGTTGTTTAAAGGGGTCATATGATGCGATTAAAATTTTTCCTTTCTCTTTGGAGAGTTACAAGCTCTTGGTGCATAAAGAAGATCTGTAAAGTTGTAAAGACTAAAGTCTCAAATCCAAAGAGATATTCTTTATAAAAGTTAAGAGTTAACCACGCCTACCTAAAATGGCTTGTTCTAACACACCCCCACATGTCTACGTCACGATGTGGGAAGATTTGCATAACGCCGCCCAAATGTTCACGCAAAGAAAGAAGGCGTAACTTTTATTCTCGCTGTAGTATTGTTGTTGCTGCCGCCATGTCGTGAAGGTGCTGTGTGTTTCATTGTGAAAGAAAAACTACTTTGTTTGGTCTTCCAAAAGAGGACGATATCGCTTCGTCATGCCTAGAGCTGATCCGTGCTGGTAGCTGAGGAAATACATCAACTTTGCGCTGTGGATCGCCGGATCGGCTTTCACCGTGGATGAAGCGGAGTCCAGCCCGGGGTCGTCACATGTGGTTGCTGCAAGCCCGCCGGACGCACCTTCGTCGAATCCGCCGCCCGCGCCGCTCGCTCGAAGCCGGACTCCAGCCTCTCACTCTAGCCCGCCATGTCTCTTCGCTCCAGCCGGACAGGGCATCACAATATGGTAAGGGGCGTAAC